ATTCAAGTTAGCTCACTAAAAACAAGCATTTGCTTCAGGCATCTCGATTAGATCCACCTCGAGGATCTCACTCTTTGAGTTCATGGCAGATTCTTATGGTCAATAATTCGGAGTGAGTAATACCTGATGCAGCACCAGCTGCGTCACTTGCCCACTTTCTAGATGATCTTGGGCTTCATTAACTTCCAGTTCCTCTTTTGTGTACATTGCTCTCAGAAAGTCCAGTTCATCGTGCAGCAACTGCCGACATGAAATCGACGGATCATTCATCAAAAGAAACAACCTAAATTTCAAGTTCCTAACAATTTCGAACTTCATCCTCACAACAAACACGACGATTTTCATCAACCAGCTGGATCCTGACGATTACAGAACTGGACTGGTGATACTGCTGGACTCACCCATACGCCAGACATAGCTTTGTCAGTCCCTCTCCCCCTCCCCTCCCCGCTCCCGATCCTGAACTTTGAATTTCTGGCTCGTTCTCGTTGCAACTGTGTCAACCCCACGCAACAGCAGTATATTCATTTATCAGGAATAGAATAAGAGGGACCATAGTAGGCCAAACCAAAAATTAATGCGCGGAAGTGATGTTCAAAATCAGAAACAAAACTTTCCCACAAATCGCCCCTCCCCCCCTCCCCGTTAAATTTTTTGAAAAATTGACTGCAAAACTCATCGTGTTTCAAGGAAAACTTTTTAGGGAATAATTTGTTAACTGCCAGTGAAGGCCGAACAAGTGTAGTGGAAGCAGAAATTGGTTTAAATTTATAACGCGGGAAAGTAAGTCGAACCGCAAATGAAAAACGTAGACCAATGAGAGCCTAAGAATATAGATGGCTCGAAACTTTGAATTAGAAAAATAGGAGCCGTGATTTTTGTAATGAAATGAGCTGAGAGATAGTAGGGTTGGAAATGTAGCTAAGACACAGTGTCATGTACAAAAGTCATGTACGGGGAATATGTGGAAAAGCAAGCACTTCGTGCCAGATACAAATCCAATTGCAGGATTTCCGAAAATAGTGAAGTGACAAATGCAACAAATCCCTTTTAATGGAAATTTTAACAAATACTGGAATGGAAATGATGCTACAAATGATCAAAGAGCACGACAATTCGCTTTTCACGCTCAATTAACAAAAACACGCAATGAGGATAAACCAGAGACAAACAAAAAGGCACCTAATCAGGGCACCAAATAACACATGAGGGAAGCGTGGTCATCTTTTCCTTTTCTGCTGAACCAATACCAAAGTTATCCGCTAGGGAATATGCGAAAATCTAAGCAGAAGTTAATCATCGAGGGATAAAAAATATTGCAAAAGTAAAAAGTGAAAAAACTCCCTCTCCCTCTCTGCGCTCTTCACGAAACGGGCAATTATCCGAATGGAGGGAAATGCCAACAGCAATCAACTACCAGCAAAAGCTATCGATGGTTTCCTCTTTCGAAGGTTGTTTAGAAGCAAGCTGATGGTAGGTTTGATTCCCTGGCACACAAAATTTTTCATTGAAATTTACGAACGAATGGGAAAATAAATCTTCCATGGGCAGCGTTTTCATTAAATTATCAGAATTCAACTATGTATTTCATCACACAGTGGGCTAGTAAAGATAAACCAACTGCATATATTAATACATAATGCTCATAAGCCTTCTGTCTTCCTCTAATCTCCTAGCCATGGATATTCACTGTTTATATCGCTAAAATTTCCATAACAATACCGTACCAAAAAAGTGCTACTACCCATGGCATCATGATCGCCTGTTAGTACAAAGAACATTATGAATTTACAATGTGATAAAAAACAATAAAATTAGCTCGAAAACGTGAAATTTTAGCCTTAAATTAGTGGAAAATATCATATTTAAAAATCTGCAACAAAAAAAAAAAAAAATCTGGAATTCAAAGAAAATTGAAAAAATCTGAAATTTAAAAAAAAATCTGAAATTTTCGCATCAAGCGCATCGAGTTCGCTCCAGAATTTGAGCGAATTCGCTGCAATCCATACGAAAATTTACGAGAAAAAACAGCACAAAAAAAATGAAGACAAAATAAGGCTCGATTGGAAAATTTCTGACGAAAGCTGGACAAGTCAATACGACACAAAAACGAATTTAGGCTGTAAGACGACAGTGCTACGCCAAATAACAGTAAATCATTGATCTACTATATAAACAATGGCTTACATTCATTCAACGTATAGCTATAACAGTACAGAATATTGAAAAAACCTAGGAACTTACAATGCTTCGAATTTCTCAAAAATTCATAAAAAAAGGAAAAAAAGCACAAAAAATCAAATGAGGTAAAGTTTGTTTGGAATAGTCAATGACTATTGGAAATGAGCAGTAAACGACAACAAAAAAGAAAACGTTTCGTAAAAAAAACAACAAAAAATTCTAGAAATCCAAATCTTTCCAATCACAACGATGCCAAATCAGACAAAATCTAAGGCAGAAAAAATGTTACGTCACAATCATGTCAAATTTATAGCCAGACAAAATATTACGTCAAGTCAGAGCATTTTTTTGCGATACGGCTTATGCAAATTCCAGTGATAAAAGGATTCTGGAGACTAGTGTACGGAGAGGACACTTCTATCAAATCGAAGGGGATCAGAACAAAAACTCCCAAGTATTCAGACAAAAATTTTAAAAAAAATGAAGTAGCGTGGGTGTAAACACACAAGAGAAATACAGGGAATCACGATTCTGTCCATCACAATAATTTAAATTTTTGCTCGAATTTTGTGCTTTAATTACATTTATGATTAAAATCACGATTTTAAATGAGTCGTAAATCTTTGTCATATTCGTATTACCTAAAAAAGAGAAAAAAATCAGGACCAACTTGATTTCAGTGAAAAGAGGAGATTATCGT